CCCCATGCGACGTTCCAGCCGTCTTCTGAAGCTCCAAGAGATGGGAACGTGCCCATGAAACACATGCAAAGCCTTCAAAGCAGCCAAGAGTTGTTGGGTTTATGGAAGGAGAGCTCAGCTGGGTGTTGGGGTGGGGGGATGAGTGGTGTCCAAAGGAAAAGGCCAGGTGGGCTGTGGCTCTTGAGCGTCTTCTGTTAAGATAAATCTTGTGAAAAATATCTAAAAGTTGAACACGCCACCTCTAAGCGTGGGCTCAGACATTCGTTAAGCTCCCCCCCACCCTCCCCAATTAAGTCACAAGCATGTGCTGATGACAAGTTTGATGGCTGGATGTTAGGGATTAGTCCCAGAGAGTATAGTTTCGATTAATGGTGCGATTTAGAGATCCATAAATAAAAAGTGGATTTTTTTCAACAACTTAAAAGTAAAAATTTCTAGAAAGGCATCGATGTATTAGCTGAGTAAGGCGTCGAGCAGGTTCCTCCATGTTTCTTAGCAAGACCATCCAACGGTATCCATAAATAGGGGGCAGGAAGGGGGGGCTTCTTGAACGTAGTGTGTCTTGGACAGTAAGCGGGAGATGATGTTCTCATTTTAGCCGCTCAACGAGTCCCTGCGTCAGTCCAAGGTGCAAAAGCTGAGATCGGGAGAGGGTTGCTAGATGAGGGAAATATTCCAGGAGCTTCTCCCACGACAGTTCCAGCAAGCTGGGTACCACCAGCCACATTTTAAAGAGAGAGCCAGTCCGTTTGTTTTCGTGGATGTTGACCACCCCTCCGTGAACGTACATGCAGCCGGCCTGGATGGGAAAAGGGGAAGAGGGGGAGTTAACGTGGGGCACGGACCAAAGTGGAACACCAGAAGGTGCTGAGGAGTGATGCTGCCAGGAAAACTGGGATTTGACTGTCCAGATTTCCAGCTGGAGAATCAGAGAGTGAGATGGGGCTGGTAACAGAAGTGTCACCACCTGAGCCAGTCACCCCAGACTCCTCACAGCCAAGGCGAGGAAATCGCGCTGCTGAAGGACACGTCTTATCCAAAAACACGTATTTCACTGAATTTTTAGAGTTGGAAGGGACTATAGAGATCATCTAGTCCAACTCCCCTGCTGAAGCAGGACCACCCAGAGCTTGTCAGAGCATGTTACTCAGGAGCATCCAGGTGGGTCTTGAAAATCTCCAAAGAAGGGGACTCCACCCCCTCCCTGGGCAGCCTGTTCCAGGGCTCCGTCACCCTCACCGTGAAAAAGTTCTTCCTCATATTCAAGTGGAACCCTTGATGTTCCAACTTGTGCCCGTTGCCCCTTGTCCTCTCACTGGCAACTACTGAAAAGAGTCTGGCTCCCTCCTCCTTCAACCCTCCCTTGAGATACTTGTAGGCATTAATAAGGTCTCCCCTCAGCCTTCTCTTCTCCAGACTAAAGAGTCCCAGCTCTTTCAGCCTCTCCTCATAAGGGAGATGCTCCAGTCCTTGAATCATCTCTGTAGCCCTGCGCTGGACTCTCTCCAGCAGTTCCCTGTCCCTCTTGAACTGGGGAGCCCAGAACTGGATGCAGGATTCCAGTTGTGGCCTCACCAGTGCAGAGCAGAGGGGCAGAATGACCTCCCTTGACCTGCTGGCCACACTCTTCCCTCTGCAGCCCAGGATTCCATTGGCCTTCCTGGCCACAAGAGCTCATTGTCATTTTGTTGTCCACCAGGACCCCCAGATCCTTTTCTTCAGAGCTTGTCTCCAGCAGGACCATGCCTAATCTGTATCTGCCACCTTAGAGTGCTTTTACACAAATTTTACATGAATTCTACCCCAACAAATCAATTTTAGGAGTGGGGCAAAGCGTTAATAGATTAGTATAGAACCATACTTAGTTTTCAGCTAAAATTTTTTTAAAACTAAACCCACATCATCCAAAGATGTGTTGCATTCTGCTGCCTCAGCACAACCCTGCTCCAGGAATCACATGAACACGAAAAGCTCAGCTGCTGGCCTCTTTTGTGAGAGATGTTTCTTTAGGACACAGGAAAAGAAGAGGCATTCCTGCTGTCCCATCACCCACCTGCCTGGAAAACACCTTTAGTTTCCCAAAAAAGAGTTGCAATCTCCAAAAAGGAAAAAGAAAAATCTCCAAAAAGAAACGAGTATCTCCAAAAAGAAAGAGTTAACGATCTCCAAACTAGGTGACACCTGCCCTTATAACCAACGAACCCCAATCTCCGCCCTTGTGAGCTGCCCTAAGGTGATGATCATAGAATCATAGAATCATAGAATTGCCCAGGCCAGAAGGGACCTCCAAAGGTCATCTAGTCCGACCTCCCCGCAGTCAGCAGGGACACCCCCAACTAGACCAGGTTGCCCAGGGCCTCGTCGAGCCTCTCCTTGAATATCTCCAGGGAAGGGGCCTCAACCACCTCCCTGGGCAACCTGTTCCAGTGCTCCACCACCCTCACAGTGAAGAACCCTCTCCTCATCTCCAGTCTAAATCTGCTCCCCTCCAGCTTGAAGCCATTGCCCCTCGTCCTGTCACTGCAGGCCTTTCTAAACAGGTTCTCCCCAGCCTTCCTGTAGGCTCCCTTCAGGTACTTCTGGACCTGCTGGCAACGCTTCTTTTGATGCAGCCCAGGATGTGATTGGCCTTCTGGGCTGCAACTGCACACTGCCTGCTCATGTCCAGCTTCTCGTCCACCAGAACCCCCAAGTCCCTTTCCTCAGGGCTGCTTTCCAACACCTCACCCCCAAGTTTGTATTGGTGGCAAGGATTGTTCCGGCCCAGGTGCAGAACCTTGCATTTGCTCTTGTTGAACCTCATGAGGTTCACCTGGGCCCACCTCTCCAGCCTGTCCAGGCTGATCAGCTGAAGGAGGCTGAAAACCACAGCTAAATGCCAGCTGCTTATCAACCACGGGTCTCTGAGCTTCTAGTTAAGGCAAAAAAGCTCTCCCAAGACCAAGCTTTGCGTTAGGAGTGGTTTCCAAAGAGGGCTGCTCATGTCTCTACCCAGGCTGTTCTCAGTAGGCTAAAACCAGTTTAACCTGGGGGGCTATTTGTGCTCTTTTCCGTTTTGCAAAATGGGAAATTCACACAGGGAATTAATCCCAGGAGCTGATGCAGTTTAAAAGCTAAAATTCCGCATGGCTGCTTTTAGAAAAGCAGAACAAACCGAGTGCTGCTGCTCCTCAAACAGCAGCAGGAGTAGAAGGGGTCAACGCAGTGACCTCACAGCAGCTCTCAGCCTCCATCAAGACACTGCATCCAGCAGAGGTCACCTCCTTGGTAACATCAGCTCAGCTCTATTTGCAGCCCACGCGAACGTCAGAGCGCTTGGACCAAGGGCCTGAACTTCGGGGAGGGAGGCAAGAAATGAGTCACTTACTGGTGTGACAGCAGCACAGTGAAAATACACGGGTTCTGGCATGGCAGCTGGGAGCTTGACCCACTGGAAAGTTTGCAGATTCAGCTTCCAAACGTCTCCCAGAATCACTTCTCCGTTGTAGCCTCCGCAAACGAACACCTCTGTAAGAGAGAAAACCCGTGGTGCTTATAGACCCCGCCATCCTTCACTCGGCGGCTGCAGAACACGTAGGGACCAGAGTCAATGATCACCTTGGCAAAATGGTTTTAGGACCTACACTTATTTTCACAGAATCACAGAATCTTCTAGGTTGGAAGGGACCTTAAAGATCATCTTGTCCAACTGTCAACCTAACTGACAAAAATAGACACCCACACAACAAACAAGGAGCATCATCACTAAACCATACCTCCCAGCACTACATCAACCCGTCTTTTGAACACCTCCAGGGATGGGGCCTCAACCACCTCCCTGGGCAGCCCATTCCAATGGCTGATGACCCTTTCAGTGAAAAAATTTTACCTCAACACAAGCTCCTGGTACCTCCCAGGTCAGTTCCAGCCCACTGTTCAGACCCATGGAGGTCACTTGTATAAATAACAGAACGGTTTGGGTGGGAAGGGACGTTAAAGATCATCCTGGGCAGGGACACCTCCCACCACACCACGTTGCTCCAAGCCCCCTCCAACCTGGCCTTGAACCCCTCCAGAGATGGAGAAGCCACAGCTTCTCTGGGTAACCTGGGCCAGGCTCTCACCACCCTCACACCAAACAAGTTCTTCCCCACAGCTCAGCTCCATCTCCACTCTTTCAGTTTAAAACTGTTGCTCCTTTTCCTGTCACTACAAGCCTTGGTAAAAAACTGTCCATCTTTCTTATTAGCCTCCTTTATATATTGAAAGGCCACAATAAGGTCTCCCTGGAGCCTTCTCTTCTCCAGGATGAACCCCCCCAACTCTCTCAGCCTGTCCTCACAGCAGAGGGGCTCCAGCCCTCCCAGCATCTCCATGGCCTCCTCTGGCCCCATCCAACAGCTCCGTGTCCTTCTGATGCTGGTGGCCCCAGAGCTGGAGGCAGCACTGGGGGGTGTCTCCCCAGAGCAGAGCAGAGGGGCAGAATCCCCCCCCCGGCCCTGCTGGCCACGCTGCTGGGGATGCAGCCCAGGATGTGGGGGGTTTCTGGGCCACCAGCACACGTTGGTGGCTCGTGTCCACCTCCCAGCCTGCCTGTGACCACAGCCCCACCACAGCACATTCAGAGCTAAATGCCATTGAGAAGCAAGAAGCTGCATTAAGCCCTAGTGAACCTGAGTTCACAGGTTTGATCAGATTCCAGTGGTTTTAAACCCACAGGGAGCAGCCACAGCCCTGGTTCCTCATCCTGCTGCCTGCCAGAAGCAGGTCTTTGCTCCTAGCTTTGCCCAAGTTCTCAACTCAGAGGTTTGCACTGCAGCAAAATACTGCTGATGAAAGTGACTGGAAGCATCTTCCAGCTCCCACCTTACTTTTATTGGCGCAATTAGCACTCCTAAGAAATATAATCTGGCGTACCGCTCTTCTGGATGGCTCAGCATCCTTTAACATCCAACATTCAGTCATTAACCTGAGGAGTTTTGAAAAGGATCAATACTATAACTGCTTCTTCGGTCCGTTATGAACAATTTGGTTTGCACCAAGTTTGGGGGAAGGTGGTTTTGGTGGACAATGAGGTCACAGGAGAGGCTCAAAACCTGTTGAAGGAACATTCTACCCTTCAAAATTGTGGGTAACTGAAAAGGGCTTGCACACACAGAGCCCTGTCTAAGCTGGGCCTCAAACAGCACCGCACAAAGTGATTTACAGCAAACATTTGGAGGATCAAAGTGAAGAACAAAAGGCTCTACTAAGCCCCGTGCAGCTTCTAACATATAAAACCAGCCCTCAACGGAAAGATCCGGGTGCTAACTCTGCTACTGCCTCATAATCCACTCCATATGAGCATCTCGGATTTACACCACCACAGAAAGGTCCCACTATTAAAGAAATCCCTGAACCATCTTGTCTCTAAAGAATTCAGCTTCCAGGACTTGGCCCCACTTTGCTTTTCACAGCAGAATGTGAAGCTAAAAGGATAGTCACCGAGCTGTAGAAGTAGCATTGTTCATACCTGTTTTTGAGCTTGCAACCAGTAAGTTACAAAGTCCCATGGACACTTGTGGCTAAAATACGTGGTATTTTACACTGAAATGGCCAAATGTCCAAAGGAGATTTAGGTGTTGCATAAAATACCACACAATTTGAGAGAGCGACAGTAACTGTGCAGTGCAGAAGAAAATTTGCCTACAGCAGAAGATCCCTCATATGAAAAGTGGTGCCAACTGGGCAGCTTAAGGAGAGAAATCCTCTTCCAGAAAAGACACGCTTGCCCTGCAGTTCCTTCTCTCAAACACGTGTTGGAGGCCAGCAGCTCTCAGGCTGGAAGGATGGACTTGTCACTGTGAGGTTGTGTAAGATACATCAATTTTCAAGAGGCAGATCTTACCATTTTTTATCTGAACGCAGCTATGGCATCTTCTGGCTGCTGGGAAACCTGAGGAGAATAAAAAAAAAAGATTATCAACTACAGTTGCTTTAAGTGCTTGGGCAAGTGGTGATTACATCTCAACACATCATCATGGACAGGAGTCACTTGTTTCATTTATAAAGGGTTTCTGCTTTCCTACAGTCACAGGTTTAACATCTCTAATTTAGCAACCAGCTCTTTCAGGTTTATAGAATGACAGAATCCCAGAATGGTTTGGGTTGGAAGAGACCTTAAAGATCATCCAGTCCCACCTCCTGCCCTGGGCAGGGACACCTCCCACGAGACCAGGTTGCTCCAAGCCCCCTCCAACCTGGCCTTGAACCCCTCCAGGGATGGGGCAGCCACAGCTTCTCTGGCCAACCTGGGCCAGGCTCTCACCACCCTCAGAGTGAAAAATTTCCTCCTGAGATCTCATCTAAATCTCCCCTCTTTCAGTGTCCAACCCTTCCCCCTCTTCCTATGGCTCCCCTCCCTCATCAAGAGTCCTCCACAGCTTTCCTGGAGCCCCTCTTTAGAGACTGGAAGTGGCTCTAAGGTCTCCCTGGAGCCTTCTCTTCTCCAGGATGAAGACCCCCAACTCTCTCAGCCCCGCCTCACAGCAGAGGGGCTCCAGCCCTCCCAGCATCTCCATGGCCCTCCACTGGACCCACTCCAACAGGTCCCTGTCCTTCCTGTGCTGAGGACTCCAGAGCTGGACACAGTACTCCAGGGAAGGAAGAAATGTGCTGGAATTTCATTCCCCCCAGACTCCAGCTCTCACCTCTGGCTTGGTGAAAAGCAGCAGCCAAGGGCCTCCAAGGTTTCAGGGAAACCCCTGCTGGTAAGCAGGCCAGCACGTGGTCCCTCAGAGGGAGCAGAGATGATGCATGTCTTCTCCTGGGAGAAGAGCCAGCCCCTATCATCTTTCCCACCCAGGGAGGGAGAGAAGCCAAACTACTAAATATGCTTCAGATGGGTTAAAGCTCTTAAACAAGCAGGACCTTGAAGCCAGTGTTAATTCACAGGGTGCACAACAAGGTTATGAAAAACTGTGTCTTCAAGCATCTTGGCCACTCTACAGGGAAAGACAGAGGAAATTCCAGACTCACCAACTTTTTCATGAGGTTTTGTGGCAATTTCCTCCCAGGTGTTGGTTTCAAGGTTGTAAGCGTGGATCTGAAGGGACAAAGAGGAGCCATTAGTTCCTCCTGGCTCTCCCAGCATTAGGGTGACGCAGTTCCAGGCTCTGACCCAGGGAGCCACTATAAATAACACCTCTTTTTCATTAAGTGTAAAAAAAAACAAAAATAGCTAATCGCAGCCAGTGACTAAGCAGGTATAAAATCACCTTCGAATCGTACCAGCTTACTAAAGCTTTCATCTCAGGCTTTGCTATTTGAGCCCCACAGCTGAAGAAAAAGAATAGTGCTTTTAAAAAAACTGGACAGATTAAAACCTACATCCTCCAGTTCTCAGAAGTATTTGGAAATACCTAATTCAGACTGCATGTAAGGAGAAAAGACACACAGAGAATGGAGAGATAAGAAGTCATATTAACTGCTGCAGTTTCAGCTTTTTTGGAAGCAGAGCACTATTTAAAGTCTCCTCGTTTATCATTTCGGCGTTCAAGATTAATTCACTCTTCCCTCCCCAAATTGTATTGGAGAAAAATGTTTACCACAGGAAAGGAAACAGAATTAAGAGAGAAGACAAGAAAAGAGTCACCATATCGATATCTGGACTTAACATCAGGGAATTCTTTTCTTTGGCGTTTTCCTGTTTTGGCACAGATGCATTTAGAAATATCACAGAATCCCAGAATGATTTGGGATGACCTCTGGAGATCATCTTGTCCAACCCTGCTGCCAAAGCAGGTCCACCTAGAGCAGGTTGCACAGGAAGCAGGAAATATGTCCTAAGTGCTTCTAAATGAGAATCTTTGCTAACAGGTCTACAGAAATGAAGCTGTTTTGCAGATGGTCACTGTGTACCACAGATGTAGCATCTGAAAGTCAACAGGACATGTTGGTGGCAACACCAGTTTTTACAGAAACAGGAGATCAATCTGCTCCCAGTTCTCTATTTTTTTTTACCAAGCTCTCCAGGCAAAGCCAGATGAAGAGACCCTGTTGGTTACGCTTCACTGTAGAAACTCTCCTATCCAGGCAAGCACTCAAGGTTTCTGATGGCCTTACCTTATCTAAGGAATAAGCTGTCCAGGAAGTTCCTCCTCCCAAGATATAAATCCGTTGACCATCATGTGCGATTTCATGTCTGTACCTGAAGGTGCAAAGAAGGACATTTAGCAGCACAAGCAATTAGTGCAAATGAGCAACAACAAAAGCCTTCTGGAAAACATAATCCAATTGAGTGGTTTAAGGAGACACCCCAAGCCTGGCTATGCTCCTCCCCCAGGTTGGGAGCATTCAGAAGTTGAGGAAGCTTTCATGAGCAATCTGAGCAGCACCCCCAGAGGCTTGAAAGGCATCTTCTGAGAGCTGAGCATCACAGAACTTAAGAACAATGATTTATGGAGCATCATGATGGCCCTCAACACTCCATCCCCTTCTCTCACTAAGATGGTCACTGATGGATTTCCCAGCCCTCCTTCCTCCACGTCTTGCTACAGAATAGGACAAGGGACAGGGTTCACCCAGAGCATCCTTCCCCTCCACAGAACTCCCAGTAAAGGTGGTGACTCCCCTGTGGAAAAGCTCTGAGATTGTCCAGCTTCTCACCTCTCCTCTGGCATGTCGCAGGACATATTGTTGGGTTTCAGCTGGATCCACTCTCTAGTATTGAGGTCCAGCTTGTGTAGGTCAGTGCTGTAAATGTAACCAGTTGTTCCTCCAAACACGTAGAGACAACCATTGATGATGGCCATGGCCTGGAAGGTAACAGAGAGAAACCAGTTAAGAGAATTCCTGCCCTCCCCAAAGCAAGACATTCCTTGAAAAGCTCCACCTACAACTTACAAAATGAGGTTTCAGGAGGAACATGAAGGGGAAACAAGGACAAGACATGAAAGATGTGGGGGTGGGGGTCTGTAGGAAGGGAAAGTAACTCCATGGTCACAAGATGGGGCTTTGAGCAACCTGGTCTGTTGGGAGGTGTCCCTGCCCAGGGCAGGGGGGTTGGAACTAAATGATCTTTAAGGTCCCTTCCAACTCTAACCATTCTATGATTCTAAGATGAGGACCTAGAAGTGGAGCTGCTGAGTTCCAGGCATCAGAGAAGACATCTGTGCAGCAGGGGTTCCCAGGAGCTAAAAGCAAAGCACAGTCAACCCTGAATCTCTTCCACCCTGACCTTATACGGATACTGTTACGGAGAATCTTATAAACCAGGTATCAGATAGCCAGCAGCATTAAGTGAGAAAGCTTAATGAGAGAAAGAGAAAGCTCCAAACAGTGGATAATTCAGACTAAATGTGGATACAGCCTGTAATAATCCCAAAACCTGTGGACCATCAGCCTGCTGAAACCCCAAAGGTGGTGCAGGCACCATTCCCTGATGCAGTCCCAAGTGGAAGCAGAGATGTAGCTCCTTCTGCTCCATCTGCTTGTTTGCCAATGGTCAGCTCAAGCTGAACTGGGCAAGGGGAAGGCCACTTTACTTCCTCCAAGTGTCTGGCAAACATCTAACTGAGAAATCAGTTGGGTTTTAAATGTCTTTAAATCACAAGTACATTCCAGTTATTACTAGAAAGCACAGCAAACCTGGCAGACCTTCTGTGAGAATGGATCTAGTTTTTTGTGCACCATGCTCATCCAGGACATTGTGGACAGTTTTAAAAGTTGTTATTCTAATACGAACAAGATCTACTAACACCATTTTAATTTACAGTTTGGGGCTTTAAAGGCTGCGAGGAGGCTAGAGAGCACCTTCAGAAACTACCAGCCACTCCTTAAATTGGACATATGTTTTCATTCAGCTGCATCTAACATTTAGTGAACAAAGAATGTGGCCAGGTCGAGGGATGTGATTCTGCCCCTCTGCTCTGCTCTGGACGTTTTCATTCAGCTGCATCTGACATTTAGTTAACAAAGAATGTGGCCAGGTCGAGGGATGTGATTCTGCCCCTCTGCTCCGCTCTGAAGAGAAGGCTCCAGGGAGACCTTTGACAACCTTCTAGTTCTTCAATTGGCTCCAGTAGAGATGGTGTGGAGCTCTTGATGAGGGAGGGGAGCCATAGGAGGAGGGGGAAGGGTTTGACACTGAAAGAGGGGAGATGGAGCTGAGATGTGGGGAAGAACTTGTTTGGTGCGAGGGTGGTGAGAGCCTTGGCCAGAGAAGCTGTGTCTGCCCCATCCCTGGAGGGGTTCAAGGCTTGGAGCCTTGGGTTGGATGGGGCTTGGAGCAACGTGGTCTGGTGGGAGGTGTCCCTGCCCAGGGCAGGGGGGTTGGAACTGGATGATCTTTAAGGCCCCTTCCAACCCAAACCATGCCATGATTCATTCTATGATTTTCAAGTTTGGCTTTTCTAACTGCAAGAAAACTACACTTTTCCTTTGAAATCTTGAAGAACAAGGACCGCTCTACTTCTTTATGAATGGTACCTGCCTTTTCTTATATTTACGAACACAGAGGACAACTCCAGTTAGTAGTGGAGGAGATATCTCCATGCTCTGACCCCTTTTTTTGTGACACACAGTGCAGCGTAGGTGCCTTGACAAGGGGTGTCCTTCGTACCTGGCCGTAGATTCGATTCGGTTTCTTTCCTCGGCAGCTGAGCAGGGCCCACCTTTTGTACTTGACGTTGCAGACGTGGACGTCGTTGCCGTTGCTCTCCCCAAAAGGGATGCCCGTGCCCCCAAAAACCAGCAGGTTGTTGCCGTGCAGCACAACTAGGAGAGAGAGACAGAGCAGAGAGAGTTGTTGCTGCGAGAGGCAGTAAAACAGAAGGTCTCTCTGGTCTGCAGACAGCAGGCAGCGAGCGTTCGATATTGTTCAAACACGCTACGACTCACGCTACACACTCAGGGCTTTGAAACCCTCTAAAAGAGAAAGAATGAAAGCTAAAACCATGGTAACCAAAGGCCTACTTTGAAAAAGGGCTAGTGAACAAAGAGATCTATTTTTGGAAGCTTTGAGACGTCTGATTGCGCCGAGCGCTCAGCCGCTGAAAGCGCAGGTGCCTCGTAACTCTCAAGCTACCTGAAGACCATCTCTTGCATCTGAAATGTTGCCTTCCCCTCTGCCTCAACCAACCAAAGCAAAAGGGGAAAGAAAAAGCAAAAAAATCACAAAACCAATCCAAACACGAGGAAGAGCCAGAAACAGGATCCCTATTTCCCAGTTCTTGCATTCCACCAGGGACACCGATTAAAATAGCTTCGGGAGAAGGCACATAGGAATTGAATTTCCATACGTACGTGACATGGAGGCGAGTTCCCTGGGCATGTAGCCTTCCGTGCCCATCTGGTGCCAGGTGTCTGTAGCAAAGTTGTACCGCCAGAGTTCCCTGAAGAGCGGGTAGTCTTCATTCTCTGGCCCACCAGACTCATCGTAGTCAGGGTTGTAGCCTCCAAACACGTACAAGTTGGCGTTATCTGCCACGCAACGATGGCCGCTTCTTGCTGGTGGACATCGGTGGCCTGCAGAAAAATGAGAAGGTAAAAGAAACGTCAGCAGAAGATCTGAGATTGTGTCCCAGGGCTAGGACCTACACCTGCTGTGGTGGTGCTCCAAGAGCTGTTGGTCTTTAGCTGTAGGGAAGCAACCAGGAGGAAACAGCTCCGTAATCACAGATCCACGGCTCCAAGTTTTGTGCATCACCATCTCATTCATGTCCACGCTAGCTCCTGGACCACACCTGCCTAAGGAGACCTGTCTGCAGGTCCACACGTGACAATCCTTCCATAAAAGCTAATTCTGAAGCATCTTACAAATCCCCTGTTCTGTCGTTCTGTACGACAGATCTCATTTAGGTAACAGTTCCAAAATGTTTATATTTAAAGCTGCCTGGTGGGAACAAAGAAAAGCAATCGTTTGCTCTCCCTCCTACACAAACCTTCTCCACATTTTGCTTCTGGCATCTTGTATCTCAACTAGGTTCTTTCACTCTTTCACCTTAGACACCCCTGGGCTTCCAAAAAATGAAGACATTCTCATAAATAAAGGCATTTCCACCAGGAGAGAGAGCAGCAGGGAACCCATCCGAGGCTGAGCTTGATAAGAGCCCTTCCCAAAAGGAAGTCCCTCTGCCTACCCACCCTCTACCCTAAAAGCTGATGGACATAAGAGGGGAGGACAACTCAAGCTTAGACTTCAACAGGAATAGGCAAAAAGACCAATTCAGTCCAGGAAAATCTAAACAGCAATATTCTTGTTGGACAACGGGTACTCAAGTCATGGCAATCCCAGGCACAAATACAGGTTGGGTGGAGAACGGATGGAGAGCAGCCCTGAGGAGAACTTGGGGGTGTTGGTGGAGGAGAAGCTCAACATGAACTGGCTGCATCCCCAGCAGCGTGGCCAGCAGGGCGAGGGGGGGATTCTGCCCCTCTGCTCCGCTCTGGGGAGACCCCCCCCAGTGCTGCCTCCAGCTCTGGGGCCACCAACAGCAGAAGGACATGGAGCTGTTGGAGCGGGGCCAGAGGAGGCCACGGAGATGCTGGGAGGGCTGGAGCCCCTCTGCTGGGAGGGGGGGCTGAGAGAGTTGGGGGGGTTCAGCCTGGAGAAGAGAAGGCTCCGGGGAGACCTTGGAGCCCCTTCCAGTCCCTCAAGGGGCTCCAGGAGAGACGCGGAGGGACTCTGGGTCAGGGAGGGGAGCCATGGGAGGAGGGGGAAGGGTTTGACACTGAAAGAGGGGAGATGGAGATGAGATGTGGGGAAGAACTTCTTTGGTGTGAGGGTGGTGAGAGCCTGGCCCAGGTTGGCCAGAGAAGCTGTGGCTGCTCCATCCCTGGAGGGGTTCAAGGCCAGCTTGGACATGACTTGGAGCAACCTGGTCTGGTGGGAGGTGTCCCTGCCCAGGACAGGGTGGGACTGGATGATCTTTAAGGTCCCTTCCAACCCAAACCATCCTATGATTCTACGAAGTCTTAGCTGACAAGTGATCAAAAACTAATTCCGAGCTTGTGTTACAGCAAGAGCCAAGCACAAGTGCCAGAGGCAGATGTTTTCTTTTGACAAGACACAGGACCACATAATGAATAAGAAAGATGAAAGGAACAGAAAAAGATTAGGTCACTGAACAAAGGAGCTGGTTGTGAGACACGTGTAGAACATCTCAAGCCAACTAAACCAGGAAGGTTTCAAAAAATCATTTTTTTGTAAACTCTAAGCTTCATCTTGAGAAGAAGGATACAGAATAGTGCCCTAAATTGTACAATTTCCATAAGTAACCATCATCCCTTCAAGCACATCCTCTGCTTGTTGCACCTCAAGGCTTTGGTTCAGCTGGCAAAAGAGCAAACTAAGAAAAAAAAAAAAACATTGAAAGAAGATGCCTGAAGATCTTTGACTTAAAGAAACCAGTCACCTTCACCACCCACCTGCTCTCACAGCTCTTTTATGGACTTTTAGGATGGACCCAGTGAAGCATCTGATGAGGACTCGTGTTTTCTTCTTAGAGCCTGTTACAATTATCAGCAGTGAATCAGGCACACAAATGAGGCATTGAGCATCTTTCCTACAGTAAAGGTGAAATAATGGAGCAATAACAAATGAGGCATCGAGCATCTTTCCTACAGTAAAGGTGAAATAAATGATTTGTCCAGGCCGAATAATGAATTTTAACTCAGCACAAGCAGCTGTGCTTAATCTTCTCCCCCCTTTTGCTGCTGCTCGAAGCTCCAACTCCTGTCCAAAATTAAGCTGCTCTACAGGGTTCAGACGAACTCCTCGTGGCTAAGCTTTGACAGATTTGGGTTGTTTCCAGTAATAATTGCATCTCGCAGCAATCCCCACTCGGAAAACTAATAAGCACTGGCTGAAAGAGAGGGGAAGTTAAGGAATTAATGGAAAAATCTGTAGTCTTTGGCCTGGCTACTGAGACAGGGCAGTGCCATCGGTCACCCGGCGTGACGTGGCCATTTGAACACCAGAGGGGTGGGTATTACATGTACAAATAGCAGCAGCCAGGGAGCCACTGGCCCCAGCACTGGACTAAATTGTTAAAACAAATATTACGTGCTTTAGAGGCGATTCACAAAAAGAAAGAGAAACATCCATCCCTCTGGGGTTTTTTATTTTAAACTCTGAAAGCATCCAAATAGATGGATGTGCTTTTCCTCAGTGAACACGCTGATAATAAAGGTATTTACAATCAAGGTAATTGTTGAGACTCTTCTCATCAGAGATGCTTCAAGAGGGCAGTTGATATCTGCACCTAAACCATGCTTTAGAAGTGCCCAGACCCCTCCAAGCCCATAGAGGAAATCCTCTAGATATTTTGTGCTTGGCCAAAGGGAGGTCATCCTTGTTTCTTCTTCTGGGTTTGGACCTTGGAGGTCTCCAAAAAAGACCTGAAAGACCTGAAATGGGAGTGTAATTCCAGGGAAGACTTGGGAGCACTGATGCACGTGCTTTGCAGGGCAGCGAGGATTTAGTCCACTCACTCATTAAATTTAAAAGGTGTTAGGGAATTAGGAGGTCAAATATTACAAATATTATCCTATTTCCCTCTAGTTAGAACGCTTGAGGTGAGAATTTTCCAGAGGGGAGAAGAAAACTGAGTTTTATAAAAAGCAAACAGACTAAAGCCTAAGAGGTGCAATTCATAGAATCACAGAATCATAGAATGGTTGGGGTTGGAAGGGACCTCAAAGATCATTGAGTTCCAACCCCCTGCCCTGGGCAGGGACACCTCCCACTAGAGCAGGTTGCTCAAGGCCACATCCAACCTGGCCTTGAACCCCTCCAGGGATGGGGCAGCCACAGCTTCTCTGGGCAACCTGTTCCAGTGTCTCACCACCCTCAGAGTAAAAAATTTCTTCCTGAGATCTAATCTGAATCTTTTTTCTTCCAATTTAAAACCGTTTCCCCTTGTCCTATCATTACCCTTCCTGGCAAAGAGTCATTCTCCAGCTCTTCTATAGGCACCCTTCAGGTATTGAAAGGCCGCTATAAGGTCTCCCCGGAGCCTTCTCTTCTCCAGGCTGAACAATCCCAATTCATAGAAAATAAATTTAAAAAAAAATAATGAGGAGGCTGCCTGTGCCATTCACCTCTCAAAATTAAAGAGAAGATGCCTGACTTTGCCATAAAGCCCCAGAACAGTTAAGTTTCAACAGAAAGAGATCAATGCATGATGCATGCAGGTCCTCGAGCAGCGGTGACTCCCAGGGAAAGGAGGGCTGGAAACACCAAGCGGAGCAAGGTTTCTACAAGCTCAGGTCTTCAGCTACAAACGTGAGAGATTTCATTTTGCTCTGCTCGAGAAGAACAGATTTTCTGCTCTGCTCAACACCGCGCTCCACGTGTGTCTCCAAAGGCTTCCCATCTCCAGACCCCTGCTTTCAAGTTTCACTCTTCACCGACCCCGGCGTCTCAACGGACCAGATCCTCCCGCTTGCAGAGGCCCAGAGAAGATGAAGAGAAGGGGTTTATCTACCCAGAAAACAGGGAAAAAAAACTATCCAACACATCTTCTGAGTCACCCGTGCAAGCACACCCACAAACGTATCAATGCTCTGCATGGTACAGCGTTAAACTGAGTTTTCCATTGTCACCAAACTCTTCTATTCAGAATTAAAGTGACCTTCATTCACTTCAAAAGAAAGTCTTAAAAACAAGATTCCTCCAGTTCCGTCTTTTTAAAGAAGGGACCTGCGCAAGCTGAATCTGCTGAAGAATTAATTCAGCTTAGTTTCTTCAGCCGACAAGCTCTGGGACTTGCATCTCCAATTAAGAGCCACATTTCCATTTAATTAAGTTTTATCAGACGATTCACATCTCCTACTGGAATTCTTCAGTTTTGGCTCCAGCGTTAATGGTGTGCAACGAGCCTGTTGGACAAACACAAACTTTAGACGACGCAGGAAGGTGGAAACACCCATGGATTTGATAACTTCCTCCTCTAGTTATGAATTCTTTGATGCCCGACAGGGAAAGGAGCAGCAGACACATCTGTGGGAAAGAGGTTGTAAAGCTGGTTATAGGAAAGGGCTTTAAAGTGGATGGATATAATTTAGAAAGCACTTGATTTCCCAGTTTGAAGACTCCGAAGAGAAGCAGGAAGGAATGGGAAGCTGCATTCACAGGGAGACTCCTTTCCCTTGGTCCTGAGGGCAGAAATGGGAAATAATAAACAATAAAACTTTCAGAAAATAAGAAGCTCCATAAACAGAATGAAGCCGAAACACGGCAACGGGGACATAATTAAGGAAAGTCCTAATTTAGGACTGGAAAGTCCTAATTGAGGACTAAGCTATCTGATAGAAACTTGCTTGCCGGCTATCGTTACACACTGACCTGTTAACACCCAATTAAATTCACCCTTTTCAAGTGATTCATCAAGTGACTTCAGAGGGAGCTGCTGGGATGGCCCAGACTGACATTATTAGCGCGGCTTCCTAATTGAGTATTTCTCCTGCAAGAGGTGTGATTAGAACTGAAGGGGAGTAAGCAAAAAAGGCGGCACAAAATACCTATTCCTGAGCTTCTTGACGTGACACAGCGCAGCAACTGATGC